AAAAAAAAGACTAGGAAGGGAGGAAGTGGCAGTTCAGGAAGGGTTTTGAATCACAAACAGCATTCTGTATTTGCTCCTGGAGGCCATAGGGAGCCCCTGCACGTTATTGAGTAGGGGTGGTGTCGTGGTCAGACCCCGGCCTTAGGAAAATCGCTTTGGTGGCTGAATGGAGGATGCGCTGGTTGGGGGAGAGACCTGAGGCAGGCCGGCCCCCCAGAAGCTCTTGCAGTGGTCCAGGCATGAGATGATAAGCCTGCCCCAAGGTGAGTGCTGTGTTGAGGCAGAGGAGGGAGCATCTGCGGAGAGATTCTGCGAAGGTCCAGTCGACAGGCCTTGGGGTGACTCCTCAACTGGGAGGAGGCAGTGCCCTCGACAGTGATAGGAAGGGAGGAGAGGGGGAGGGTCTGAAAAGAAAGAGTGTCTGCTCTGGACAGCCTCCATTTCAGCCCCTCCTGGGTCTTCCCGTTCGAGATTTCATTAGGCAGCTGGAGGGGTGAGACCGGAGGTCAGCAGAGAGGCAAGGTCAATCCATCAACGGGTGAAGGGGGCCTCAGAGGCCAGCTGACTCAACCTGATCGTTTTCCAGACGAGGAAACTGAGGCCCAGAGTGACTTGCCCAAGTGGGTTTGACACTGAGGTCCTCTGGCCCAAGGGCTTTCCTGCTGTATGCTGCCCGATTCAGAAGAATTTGGGGAGCAGCCATGGGTAAGATACGGGGGGCTAGCAGGGACGAGAGAGAAGTGTCTGGCAGGCAACAGATTCCAAGAAGCACCATTTTCTGCCTTTCCAATCGCCCCCAATGCCCAGCTCTGAACGAGCCCCCTTCAGGACCTCCCGTGCCACGGTGAGCTGGGAAGTGCTGGGTCAACATTCCTCCTCCGACAGGCCGTCCCTTGGCACACCCTCTGAGGGAGCCACGTCCCCGGAGCTCAAGGGAGGGACCGCCCAGCGGGGCTGCCCCCTTTCTGTGCCCCCCTCCCCTTTCCTTCCCCACTCACCTGTGCTCTTTCGGGGGGAGCCCCGAGGCAGGCTGTCCCCCATCTGCAGCTGTACACTGCTCCCCAGGGGTGGGGGCCGTGCGGCCGAGGGGCTCTGCCCGGGCTGTTTCAGAAGGTCGGTCAGAGTCCTTTGGAAGAGAAAACAGGCATGATGAGGTGCCTGACCCAGTCTTCGTGCAAACCCCCGGGAAGGCCTCCCCTGCCCAGCCCTGCCTGCACTGGGCCCTCCTTCCTCTCCCTGGCATTCAGTTCGTCCCTGAATTACAGGCTTAGAGCCAGAAGGGACCTCGAAAGTCCAGTCCGATGCCCTCACCTTACTGAGGGGAATGGAGGCTCAGAGAAGGAGAGGGACCTGCCCAGTGTCACACAGGTAGTGAAAGGTTATCTGGGATTTGAACCCAGATCCTTGGACTCCAGGTCCCATTGTCCTGCACTGCCTTTCTCATGGCTCTCCTACAAGGTTGCAGTCTGGCCCCGTGAGAAGATTTGCCTCTGTTCCTCCAAGCTCAGCCCAGGCTGATGGAAGCCCAGGTCCCTGGGGGGAGTCCTCCCTGGCCGAGGTGGATGCCTGGCTCCGCCACTTCCTGGCTGTGTGGCCTTGAGCAAGTCATAACTTCTCTGGGCCTCAGTTTCCCCCTCTGTAAGATGCTGGGGAGAGCCATCACCCCTGCCTTTCCTACTTTGTAAATGGAGCAGGAGCAGAGAAATACAAGTTCCCCAGGGGCTGAGTGGGTCGGTCAGTCCCTTCAGAGCCACCCCAGACAGCCGAAGCCCCAGAGAGGCCGAGGTGGAGCAGAGGATGCCTGAGCGGCAGCCCTGGGGCTGGGCCATCAGATGGAAGGAGGATGGAAGGAGCGCAGGCTGAGTGACCTTCAGCAGCTGTCCCCACCTCTCTTGGCCCCAGTGTTCCCTTGCCTCTGCCCGGCAGCCCCGTGCCAGTGCACGTGTGTGCGTGTGTGTGGTCACGTGTGTGGTCAGGTGCTGCATTGTGCCTGTGTGCATGTGTGTATGCATACAGTCAGATGTGCATGTGTGCATGTGCGCATGCGTACATGATGTGCTGCATTGTGGTCATGTGTGCAAGCATGTGCCTTAGGTAGGTATGTACATGTGGGGTCATATGTGCTTGTGATCATGTGCTACATTGTGGTCATGTGGTTGCATGTGCCTCTGTGTGTGTGTGCGTGCATGTGTGTGTGTGTGGATATGTGTGTGCCTCTGTATGTGTGTGCCTCTGTGTGTGTGCATGCATGTGTGTGTGCCTCTGTATGTGTGTGTGCCTGTGTGTGTGCGTGCATGTGTGTGTGTGCCTCTGTGTATGTGTGCCTCTGTGTGTGCCTCTGTGTGTGTGTGCATGCATGTGTGTGTGCCTGTGTGTGTGCATGCATGTGTGTGTGCCTCTGTGTGTGTGTGCCTCTGTGTGTGTGTGCGTGCATGTGTGTGTGCCTCTGTGTGTGTGTGCGGATATGTGTGTGCCTCTGTATGTGTGTGCCTCTGTGTGTGTGTGCATGCATGTGTGTGTGCCTCTGTGTGTGTGTGTGCCTCTGTGTGTGTGTGCCTGTGTGTGCGTGTGCGGATATGTGTGTGCCTCTGTATGTGTGTGTGTGCCTCTGTGTGTGTGTATGCATGTGTGTGTGTGCCTCTGTATGTGTGTGTGTGCCTCTGTGTGTGTGCCTCTGTGTGTGTGCCTCTGTGTGTGTGCATGTGTGTGTGTTCTTCTGTGTGTGCGTGCATGTGTGTGCCTCTGTGCATGTGTGTGTGCGTGTGTGTGTGTGCATGTGCCTCTGTGTGTGCGTGCATGTGTGTGTGTGTGCGTGCCCGCACGCACGCACGCGCGCGCTCTTGCTGGGGACTGGTGCCCAGGGGCCTGTCGGGGCCCGTCGGTCCCATTCCCATAAGCGGCAGTGGCTGCTCTCGCCTCCCCCCTCCCCCCCCCAGCTGCCGCCCTGATCAGAGACCAGTGATCGGCTCTGACGCTCAGCCCCTTCCGTGCCGGCGGGCGGCCCCCGAGGAGGACGCGGGAGGCAGGGTGCCCGCGCTCACGGCCTGGACCGCACAGGACCCACGTGCGCGGGGCGTAGGAGTCCCTGAGTCTGACCCCTGGTCTCAGAGATGGGCACGCTGAGGCCCGAGACAAGTTCAGAGATTCCCCGAGGGCTCACGGCTGAGAATTGGTCCGGAAAGTCGGCAAAGCCAGCCCCTCCGATGCCATGTCCAGCGGCCCTTTCCCTGCTCTGAGATCCTCTTGGCATGTCACACACATGTGTTCCCGTACATGCATTCACCTGCATGTTCTGACCAACGTCCAATGTGCAAAAAAATAAAAAGCATTTTTGTGGATAAATTTTGTAACCGATTTTAAAATAAGAGCCTACTATGTGCCAGGCATAGACAAAGACCGACATGAAGACCATCCTTTGCCCTCAGTGAGCTTATGTTCTACCGGGGTATGAAAGCGAGTGGGGGCTGGGCCTGAGGTTGCAGTGACATAGGGAGCTCCCTTCACCAGTTCGAGTTGCCACTTTCTCTGTCCTGGAGAGGAGGGGGGCCAGACTCTATGTCCCCCCAGCCTCATTCCTTGCCTCAGTCCCACCGCATAGACCAGAATCTTGGATCTTCCTCGAGGCATCATTGGATTTTAGAGCTGGAAGGGCCCTTAGAGGCTTGGAGTCCAAACCATCCCTGAAGAAGAACCCCTGATGAGGTCAGCCAGCCTCTGCTTGAAGGCGTCCAATGATGGGGAGCTCACTACCTCCCAAGGTAGCTCATTCTACCTGTGGGCAGCTCTAATTGTTAGGATTTTTTTTTTCTGACATTAAGTGAAATCTGCATCTCTACACTCACTTCCCCACACTGGGGAGCGCCGCTGTGACCTGAAGCACATCTGGACACCTGCCCCATGTTCTGCCTCCAGGCCATTAGCTCCTGGCTTCCTTTGCTGAATTATGAGTAGAGCTGGGCCACCGGAAGTGAAGGGGATGTTACTGCAGGGACTACCCCAGGAATCTTGGGGTGAGGCTGAAGTTTTGTTTTGGGGTTTTTAGGGGTTTTCAATGCCCCAAAGGAGACAGAGCCTGGAGCAGGGTCGGCTTTCTCAGCCCGAGAATCCGGCCTCCCAGGATCGTCTCCCCTGACTTTTGGCTGACATTCTCATTATCGTGGCTTTCATCCAAACTTGTTCCTGCACGTCATCCTTGAAGATGTCACTTTCAGGGAGATGACTCTCAATGACCAGGAGAAACCAAAGGGGAGAGCGTTAGTGGACACCCAGAAGCAGCAGCGAGAATTAGCCTGAAAGACCCATCCCACCCCCTAGACACCCGGCCCCCTGCTTTCTAAACAGCTCATTCATTTTTGGCGTGGGGCTCTCTCTGCCCAGTGGGGGATTCTGAATCCAGCCCCTGAAGCTTCTTGAGAAGGGGGGGCAGTCATTATAAGGCCCTTTCCCGCCAGAGAACAAGGTAGGAAAGAGCCCTTGTCATCCTGAACTTAGCCCAAAACTTCAGAGGACTGGTGAGGCTGAATGTGTGAAATCTAGGCTATAGCTGATAACCTCAGAGGCTGCTCTCCAAGAAGCTAGCTCTGTCAGCACGCATTTACGGAAGCTTTGCAACATGCCTTACCAACATTATCTCGTTTGACCCTTATAACAGCCCTGGGAAACAGATGCTTAATCTCTGTTTGCCTCAGTTGCTTTATCTATAAAATGGGGATAATAATAGCTTCTGCTTCCCAGGGTTGTATCCGACCTTTGTGACCCCATTAGGAGTTTTCTCGGCAAAGCTACCAGAGTGGTTTTTCATTTCCTTCTCCAGCTCATTTTACAGATGAGGAAACTGAAGCAAACAGGGTGAAGTGGCTTGTCCAGGGTCACACAGCTAGTAAATGTCTGAGGTCAGATTGGCACTCAGGTCTTGCCCACTCAATTCCAGCACTCTATAGGCTGCACCACCCAGCTGCCAATATTTCCCTAACCACAGGTAGCCTGGCACAGAAGCCTGATGTTTAACACCTGAACTGACAGATGGGTGCTCTCTAGGCAAGTGGTCTGGGTCATTAAAAATCAGTCCGTCAGAATTGCTATGTTTTCCCAGCTAACGTCCCTGGGGCCAGGACAGGTCTAGGTTAGCAGCCTCATCAGCGTACAGCACGTACTGCGTTGACAGGGACTCAGTGTGGGTGCTTATTTACCATAAGACGCTCCTGAGACATCTCTCCCCAGCTGTACATGGAGCAAAAGGGAGAGCTGGTTCACTCTTTAGACTGAGGAAATGTCAAGAATGTTGTCTTTTGTCCTGAGGGTTTTTTGGGGTTTTGATAGTTTATTATTTCTATTTTAAGATAAGTATTTTTTTAATTAATCTGATCCCCCCATTACAAATTTAAAAACAAAAAAGGAATGTCTCCATGTGTAGCTACATAATCTGGCTGTTTGCTTGTTTGTTTATCTGTTTATTTTTGTGCATGGTAATGCCTAGACCTGCTCAGGAAGAGGAAGAAACAGTCCCTGATTAATTTAGAGTCACTTAAAAAAAAAAGCAATGGGAATTTTTCAGTAATAAAACTTCCCTGAATTATCTGATTGGATGCTTTGAGCAGAGGGTTTTTTTTTTCCTCTTTCTTCTTGAACTGGCCAACCAAGAAGGAAAAAGAAAAAAATGTGGAAAATGTAGTGCAAAAATACCAGCCACGAGGTCTCTCCCGATCTCTAGATTTTGTTGCATTAGACGTAGAAGAGATTCTAGAAACCAAGAGACGGGCTCTCTGGGACCACAGATTTCCAAGTTATGAGGGGAACAAGTCATGATGGGGCTACTTTTATTGAATTTCCTAGTGGAGTTTTTTCTTTTTTTGGATAGACTTCACTAGAGTTGTTTGATTGGAAATGAAGACTTGGGGGAAATTGTGTAAAAACACACCCAGATCTGAAAGCGCCTTCTTCTGCTGCTGCTCTTTTCTTTCTCTTTACTGATCCCACGAGTTCCCCCTCTAACAGGAATGGAATCTGGGAGTCTAGGACGTCCTTCAAACTGAGTGCTGACTTCACATAACTCCCATGTACTAGAAATGCATTCATGCAAGTTAGTGTTGCCCCCTTTCTGTGGGTGTAGCATCCAGAATGGAAAAA